CCGGATGTTCTCTCTGGCTCCCAGTTATGTTTACATCACGGCCCCGACATTGACCCAGACAAACGGGACGCCTGCGACTACCTGTGGACGGTGGATCTACTCAAAGATTACGTCAGCAAACATTTCCCTGGCCTTGTCCCTACACCCAGCGTTGTGGAGTCCTGTATCTACACAGTGAGTTAATAATAAACTAATAACAATATGTGCGGTAGCGTGGTGGAATCAGGCTCTCGTCAAAATAATCAAAGTGAAGAAACTTGCATTTTTCCATAGCTTTGTGAATTTTTATAAAATTTTTGTTTTTTGGCTCAACACCTTTCATGCCCATTAAAGAACTGATTTCTGTGTGGATTTTTCTGAAAAACGTCGATTAAAGGCATGAAAAAATAAAAATTTTCAGTTACCACGGACTATTAAGCTCTGGGAATTACTAATCTTTGACGGCCATTTTCTCATTAATTTTACCTCTGAAAACAGGTGACCCCCACCTCCTGCATTCGCAAATATCTCGACTTGTATTCAAGATTAATGGATCTTTTTTCCATCCAAATAAAGTCAAGTGAACAAGCTTTAAGATGATACCAATAACTCTACATGCCCAAAAATTGACGAGAGCCTGATTCCACCACGGTGCCTCACATATTGATGTTAATATATTGATAATACAAATGAAAATAAAAATCAGAATAAAGATCATCATCATCATCAACATCATCATCATCATAATCATCATCATCATCATCATCATAAATGACATTTGCATAACCCATAACCCCACTCAACAATATGTGCTTTACAATCTGTTACCCCAACCGACCCTAGTACACATAAAAAGATTCTCAACTTCCCAGAGAGCATCCAGTGCAAAGTAGTGGATAACACACTCAAACGCTTTACTTGCACTATCTGATTCTATAGCCGGGTACCCATTCTCACCTAAATGAATTAAGAAAAATTCACGTAATCCGCCGTTCCCAAGGCTACAACGTCAGACCCCTGACGGGATTCAAACCATTGCCCTTACATTTGCGAGCCCCACAGGCTAAACTTGACCACTGACGCTATAAGAGTGACCCATTGTTTGTGTGTTGTTCAACTATAGTGCATCCGCCAATGTCTGAAAATGACCAAAGCACCTGCAGAGGAGAATCCTATCTCTCCACCACCCCCCTTCTCTCTCTCTCT